TATTATTGTAATGTTACTGTAATATTACCATGAGGCGGACATTATTACTATGATAGCTAAAATCAATCAGATATATGACAACTTTCTAAAGCAAAAAATAGCTCAAGAACAAAAATCTTTCTTTGTTGACGAAATAAATTTAAATTTACAGTATACATATCTATGTATACCCTCATAACAAAAGGATATCCATATCAATGGTCGATATCCTAGAATGGTCCCCAGGATATCCCTACGATATCCAAACCGCCGGTCTGTGGGACATCATTATATAATGAATAATAATATAATAAAAACAAAAATTTTATGAGCTTCTAATTTATTTTAAATGAAGATTTGAAACGCATTTTTCAAAGTTTTTAAATAAACTCATGCACTTAATGTATAATTAATATTAATAGTTATTCGTTACTTGCGGGGAAGAATTTATATTGTTTAAAGCCAATTTATTTTCTGACAATATTAAGCATATGAATAAAGGAATGAATCACGAATCAGAAAAAATTAGTTAATAATTTTTCAAATTAAACAACTTTCTCGAAAAACAAGTTGCATTTTATTTTATTTATATAAAATTTAATTCACAGAATATTTTCACTCGTAGTCTCATAATGACTTTAAAAACAGTATCCTGAGAATATCTTCTTGACATCTAGAAGATATCCTGAAAATATCTGTGAGATATCCTAACGATATCTATGGGATATCTGGAGGACATTTATGAGAGTCTATAGAGATATCCAGAAAATATCCTGTGGATATCCTCAGATATCCATGGGATGTCCAAAGGATATCCAAACCGCCGATTTTTTGGATACCCTTAAGAGATCCTTTTGATATCCATAGAACATCCCTAGGATATCTTCGGGATGTTATCAATAGAACATCCCTAGGATATCTTCGGGATGTTATCAATATATCCCAAGATATCTTGTGTTATTAGGGTATATATATATTATATATTTGATTATATATTGGAAATCTTATATCATTCTGACATATGATGGTCTACGTAGGACCTCCGTATATATTAGATATACATACCTACATAGATAACCCTTCATAAAACCTATCTCTATGTTGTATCGAAAGGTTTACATCATTCCTACATATGATGACCAACGGATATCCTATATAGAACTTGGATATGTAAGCCTACATAGAGTGACCTACATAAAACTTACCTCTATGGTATGTAGGAAAGCCTATGTTAGTCCTACATACTGTGACTGTCGTAGATCCTACATAGAAATTGGGTATGCCGGCCTACATGGACTGGCCTACATAAAAATTATGTATATGTTATGTAGGAAAGTCTATGTTAGTCCTACATACTGTGGCCTTCAAAGATCCTACATAGAAATTGGGTATGCAGGCCTACAAAGACTGGCCTACATAAAACATATCTCTATGGTATGTAGGAAAGCCTATATTACTCCTACTTACTGTGGCTGTCGTAGATCCTACATAGAAATTGGGTATGCCGGCCTACATGGACAGGCCTACATAAAACTTATGTATATGGTATGTAGGAAATTCTATATCAGTCCTACATATTGTGGCCTTCATAGACCCTACATAGAAATTAGGTATGCAGGCCTACAAAGACTAGCCTACATAAAACTTACCTCTATGGTATGTAGGAAAGCCTATATTACTCCTACTTACTGTGGCTGTCGTAGATCCTACATAGAAATTGGGTATGCCGGCCTACATGGACAGGCCTACATAAAACTTATGTATATGGTATGTAGGAAATTCTATATCAGTCCTACATATTGTGGCCTTCATAGACCCTACATAGAAATTAGGTATGCAGGCCTACAAAGACTAGCCTACATAAAACTTACCTCTATGGTATGTAGGAAAGCCTATATTACTCCTACTTACTGTGACTGTCGTAGATCCTACATAGAAATTGGGTATGCCGGCCTACATGGACTGGCCTACATAAAAATTATGTATATGTTATGTAGGAAAGTCTATATTAGTCCTACATACTGTGGCCTTCGTAGATCCTACCTAGAAATTGGGTATGCAGGCCTACATGGATTGGCCTACATAAAACTTATCTCTACGATATATAGGAAGGCCTATTTTATGCCTACATACTGTGGCCTATGTAAATTCTACATAGGAATTACATACATAGATCTATGTAGTTTTGGCCTAACTTACCCTTACGTCGACACTACATCGAATGACCATCATAAATTTGATATAAAGAATCCTACATATATTCTACATAGATTCGATATCTCATGGGCCTATATATTAAGGCCTTCATAGTGATTACCTAGAATGTATTTTAAATGGCCTACATAGGAAGGCCGTCTTTAAATCTACAAAAATCGTACATAGGATATATATAGGCCGTGTTTCTTTTTTATTCGGGTTTATATTCGCCTTTGAGAATATATATAATATATCGGCGGAAGTTTTGTTGATTATGTAAATCCATTTACACTTCCATTTTCACTTCCGCTTTTTCCTATTTCCATTCCTACTTCCATTTCCACTTCCAGTTTTTCTAATTTTCATTTTCAATTTTCCATTCCCAATTCCATTCTTACCTCCAATTTTTCCAATTTCCGTTTCCACTTCTTGTTTTTCCATTCCCACTTTCATTTCCACTTCTACTTTTCCATTTCCACTTTTAGTTTTTCCAATTTCCGTTTCCATTTCTAGTTTTTCCATTTCTACTTTTCCAATTTTCATTCCCGTTTCCACTTCTAATTTTTCCAATTTCCATTCCCACTTCCATTTCCACTTCCAGTTTTTCTAATTTTCATTTTCAATTTTCCATTCCCAGTTCCATTCTTACCTCCAATTTTTCCAATTTCCGTTTCCACTTCTTGTTTTTCCATTCCCACTTTCATTTCCAGTTCTACTTTTCCATTTCCACTTTTAGTTTTTCCAATTTCCGTTTTCATTTCTAGTTTTTCTATTTCTACTTTTCCAATTTTCATTCCCGTTTCCACTTCTAATTTTTCCAATTTCCATTCCCACTTCCATTTCCACATCCAGTTTTTCTAATTTTCATTTTCAATTTCAATTTTCCATTCCCACTTCTAATTTTTCCATTACCACTTCCATTTCCGTTACTACTTTTGCAATTTCCATTCCCACTTTTCTTTCCACAATTTTCTTAATAATTTTAGATTAGTTATTTTTTAAAATCGCGCCAAAATCTTTCTGTCCGTTTGAAAATATGTAAATGTTCGCACAAAAAACGGACATAAAGATTTTGGCGCGAATTTTAAAATTAACTAATCTGAAATTATTAAGGAAATTGTGGAAAGAAAAGTGAGAATGGAAATTGCAAAAGTAGTAACGGAAATGGAAGTGGTAATAGAAAAATTAGAAGTGAAAATGGAAATTGGAAAAATTAAAAGTGGAAACGGGAATGAAAATTAGAAAAGTAGAAGTGGAAACGGGAATGAAAATTGGAAAAACTAGAAATGGAAACGGAAATTGGAAAAACTAGAAGTGGAAATGGAAAAGTAGAAGTGGAAATGAAAGTGGGAATGGAAAAACAAGAAGTGGAAACGGAAATTGGAAAAATTGGAGGTAAGAATGGAATTGGGAATGGAAAATTGAAATTGAAAATGGAAATTAGAAAAACTGGAAGTGGAAATGCAAGTGGTAATGGAAATTGGAAAAATTAGAAGTGGAAACGGGAATGAAAATTAGAAAAGTAGAAGTGGAAACGGGAATGAAAATTGGAAAAACTAGAAATGGAAACGGAAATTGGAAAAACTAGAAGTGGAAATGGAAAAGTAGAAGTGGAAATGAAAGTGGGAATGGAAAAACAAGAAGTGGAAACGGAAATTGGAAAAATTGGAGGTAAGAATGGAATTGGGAATGGAAAATTGAAATTGAAAATGGAAATTAGAAAAACTGGAAGTGGAAATGCAAGTGGTAATGGAAATTGGAAAAATTAGAAGTGGAAACGAGAATGAAAATTGAAAAAGTAGAAGTGGAAAAACTAGAAATGGAAACGGAAATTGGAAAAAATAAAAGTGGAAATGGAAAAGTAGAAGTGGAAATGAAAGTGGGAATAGAAAAACAAGAAGTGGAAACGGAAATTGGAAAAATTTCAAGTAAGAATGGAATTGGGAATGGAAAATTGAAATTTAAAATGGAAATTAGAAAAACTGGAAGTGGAAATGGGAATGGAAATTGGAAAAAGCGGAAGTGGGAGTAGAAATTAGGAAAAATTAAGTAGGAATGGAAATTAAAAATGGAAATTGTAAGAAGTGGAACTGGGATTGAAAATTAAAAAACATGAAAGGGGAAATAGATTTATATCGACCATCTAGAACAAAAAACGAACAATTTTTTTTTTCAAATATTGAGAAGAAAAGTTGTATTATTATTTAGACGATTAATATTGCAAGAGAGCAAAAGTCTCAAGGCTTAGTAAAACTATGTTTATACGGTAAATAAGAAATTCAATGGTGCAATTTTCTTATAGTCTCAGAAGAAGTGCTCGAGAAGACTCGAATTCATTCCCTTTTTCTGATTCAGTCAGCTTCTGGCTTAAACCGCACGACCCTCGATATTCAAGAATGGAGATGTATATATATATATATATATATATATATATATGCATTTTGCGAAAGTATTCATTTCTTTTTTCTTATTTCATGTACTTCAGAGATTATCGTGCACTCGGACAAGCTTTGCGAATCGATGTTCTTTCAACTACTTTTTGCTCATTTACCCCAGACCGAGTTCTTTTCAATTACCATATACCGTAAAATGCAGATCGATTATGTCTTGTCTTGCGTTCATGAAAAGCGTGGTTTTTCAAGTATTTTTTCGGATTAATATAAGAAAATGTTTTTGGATCAATACCAGATTTTTAATTAATTATTAGAATTAAATTAATTTAATTTAATTTCAAATTTTATAATAATTATTTGTATAACAATAAAATTTCTAATAAAATAATAATGTTATTAAATCATTAAAAATTGGGAAATTTTTTGTTTCAGACGGAAAATAAAAAAGAGTGGATAATCGAGCCGAGGGAGCGAGGGGCAGTTAGCCCTTTGGCGAACTCGAAGGATGCAGCTCCCAGGGGGGAGCACGAGGATTCCGCCAGCGTGCGTTCCAATTCTCGCAAAAATCACCAGCATAATAATTGACAAATACAATCACAAAAGTAAATCGAGAATTAGTAAAAGTAGATATCGTCGTGGCAGGGGCATAGAGTGTTGCACTAGCCTCGACCACAAGCCGATTCCATTGAAAAAACGTCGCGGTTTCGACTCGAGTACAATCCGTCGACACCGAGATACACGGCGGAAGGTGTGGGACAAGGAATAGTGAAAAGATTAGGAAGGCGGAGAAGAGTAAGAAACGAGATAAAAGGGAAGAGAAAGAAGGAAGAAAGGACGAGGGTAGATAAGAAATTGAGAAAGAGTGTTGTCGTCATAGAGGGCGACGGAAGAATTAGGAAGAAGAAGAAAAAGAAGAAGAAGAAGAAGGAAGAGGAGGAGGAGGAGGAAGAATCAGGGAAAAGGGTGAAGGAGAAAAATCAACAACGGTTGGCGAAGGAGAAGGAAAAGTGGAAAGGGAGCTTGAGAGTGGCTGAAAAGTGGGGAGAAAGAAACGAGGAGGCAGCAGCTGCAAAGGTGGTAGGGGTAGAAATATCGTGTAGAAGCATCGACAGTAGTAAAGGCAGCGCTCCGTGTTACGAGGGGCTATTCAAGCGTGAGGGGGAGGGGTGACAAGAAGCCCTGGCGGGGAGGGGAAACGGAGGCCTTCGGGGGGCCGACCAACCAGACGGCTGATGATGTCATCGGAGGAGGAGACCGAGTGTTTCGCCCTCTACGGAGCAACCACGGACAGTAAGCAACAGCAACTCTTGAAGAAGCAGAAGCGCACCAGACAGCGCGTGGACGCCGGCGAGCCGCGTAACAGCTACTCGAGTATACCGAACTTCACGTCGCGACCTTCATTTCCCGGCGGTGCATTTTACGGTGCGATATTCAGTGGTAACGGTGTGCCACACCAAAACACTCAACCGCATCAACAACAACAACATCTACAACAACAACAACAACAGCAGCAACTCCAGCAACAGTCTGGAGTGCCTAGAAGTCAAGGTCATCTCGGTGCTACAACGACGGGTCCCACGGCAGCCCAGCAGCATTCTGCCCATCCGGCCTTCGGGTTTTTTGGGGCAACGGGCTTCGGCCCTCCCAAGATGCTTAACGAACTCCTAGGCCGTCAGGTCAAGCAGGCCAGCGACGCCGGAGGATCGCCACTTGAAGCCAGCCACGGAATGACTGGCGCTGGCATGGACTCTGCCACCAATTTGCAACAAGGGGCAGTTGTCAATTGTGATGAACTAAGTACGGCGGAATTAGCGCCTCACATGTTACGCAACTTACTCCAAACGCACAAGCTCAATGCCCTCTCTGCGCAGGATCAACCCACCAACAACAATAGTATTCACAATAATAACAATAACAATACAACCACGGATCTACTTAAATCCCAACAGCATCAACAACACAGTCCTCATCATCAACATAATAGTGAGAGTGCGCGCAGTGGAACAGTGCAGAGTGGCGGCGAAGAAAGTGTTGATGGTAATGTGAATAATACGAACCATAGTGATCGCGATAGCGTAATGCCAGGTGATGCCGAAGATAGTGCCGAAGATGTTGCTTCAGCACAACGCGCAATGGATGAGGCATTAGCCGAAGCTGGCATGGAGCCTGGTGCAAATTTAGATGGTTCTGATTGTGAGCAAAGCCTTCCCTCCAGTCCCTCAGTTCCACAATCGGTATCAATTTCCGTCAAGGAGGAGATGCAAGATCTCAAACGTAGCCCCAGTAATTCACCCTGTCCAATACTTCCAAAAACTGAGACAAATTCACCAACGACTGAAATAAAACGTGCACGAGTTGAAAATATTGTCAGCTCAATGAGAAGCAGTCCAGCATTACAACCAGTCACTGTCAACGGCTGTAAAAAACGAAAACTTTATCAACCTCAACAACAAACGGTTCACCATGTTCTCCAACATAGCGTTACTGACACAATGATGGATTACGAGGAGGACAGCGAGGACGAAGAGGATACACATCCTTTTAGACAAAAACGTGATAAACTAAAGATCCAGTTGCAGGGTCTTCAAGAACAATTAGCTGAAATGCAACAAAAGTACAACGAGCTCTCCAGCAAAGTGGATGGGGAAGCGAACGATAGCGGAGACGCGCCACCTAGTCCACAACTTCCACCTCAGCCCCCACCGCGACCACCGCGACCTCATCCACCTCCGTACAATGGCATTGCAAATTTGACACCCGATCATACGCACGTTGCCGCGGCAGCCGTCTATCATAAATTATATCTCGAGCAACAACAACAACAGCAACAGGCTGTCCTTGAAAGAATGAAACAACATCAGGAGGCCGCCAGGCAGCAACATCAACAAAATTCACCCCAATTGTCAACACCATCACAACAGCCAAGTCAAAATAGTACAGCGCCACCAACTCCACAAACACCCCAATTGCAATCATCAAATACACCTTTGCTTCACAAAGACTATAAAGATTTTCAAGAGAGATTAACAGTCTTCCGAGGTGCAACACAAAGTTCCGGTTCCTCTGCAACTCATATTACCGGCGATGATCTCGAGGGTTTTGCCGATACGCTGAAAAAAGAAATTAGCACATCATTGTCATCATTGATCGATAGTGTATTAGCGAGGTACGCACCTCAAAGACGACTTATGAATAAACAAAATGAAGCAGTGCAATCGGCAACTGAACAATTTAGCAAGGACATATTGGCAAGTCAAGTTCTCGAGAGAAAATCACCGAGAACGAAGGTAGTTGATCGAGGAGCACCACAAACACCGGGTGGCCCAAACGGGCTACGGGGGCCCTTAAACGGTGGGCCCCCGCCTCCACAATCTACGGGGTTTCCCCAACTAGGTCCCATGGGTGGTGGTCCCCATGGTCCACTCTCTGGTCCCACCGAAAATAACCTCAATCAAATTAATCAACTGCCACCGCACGTTAGGCCAAGCGTTGGAATGTTTCAAACTCCGAAACCATCCTCGATATATGCAATGGCCTCGATGCACGCGCAGCAACAACAACAACAACAACAACAGCAGCAACAACAACAACAACAACAAAGAGATCAACAACGAGATCAACGTGAACAATATTGCAATTTGAGAAATGATGACAGGGAGAGCAGGGATTCAGAGCAGAATGAGGCCCTTTCGCTTGTCATGACGCCAAAGAAAAAACGCCATAAGGTTAGTATCTATAATTGTTGGTTAACATATATATTTTTAGGGACAATTTCACCAACTTTGGTTAAAAATTAATTAGCAATTAAATCCCTAACTGCAACCAATTAGCAGTTAGGCTTTTATTGCTGATTATATATTTTTTAACCAGAATTGGTGAAATTTGATTTTGAAATATTATTAAATATATCCAAAAATGGTGAACAAAATTCTATACACTGAGAAAAAATACAAATCAATAAAGAATTTCTGCCAAAGGTATATATAAAAATTATTGATTCAAAAGCATATCTATAAAATATTTTACAAATTTTATAGCATATGCTTTAGAATCAATAATAATTTTTATATACCTTTGGCAGAAATTCTGTTGATTCAATAGCATATCTCAGTGTAGAATTAAAATGGGTAAAGCATTATAAAGATAAAAATCATAGCCAACAATTATTGTTTTAGAATTGCTTGACTGGTAAAATTTGGATCTAAGAATATTTTTATTATCATTAATAATCATTATTGATAATTTTGATTTCAAGAATTAATTATTCAATCCGAATTTTTATAGAGTCAACAATTGTTTTTTCCGTATAGAAATTTTTAAAAAGTTTTTAATTTTGCTAATTCTAGAAATTAATGTTTTGTTTCCTTTCAAAAAATCACTGTTGGTCCATTAAAGATAATTATCATATACCAGAAATATAATTGCTGATAATAATTGAAGAGCTTTACCGAATAACGATCTATGGCACAATTGAAAATTTTGGATATGCTTTCAAAAAAAAAGTAAATTAAATTGATAATAAACTGTATCTGGATTATTAATAGAATTAGTAACATTACCTGTCTAATAAATAAAAAATTTACGTATTATTACCAAATTTCATCAAAGTTTACGTTTTTTGAAAGCTTGTAACAAAACTTTCCATAATTGTGCTACAGATGAAATGTATTTTTGAAATTTTGATTAACTGGGAATTATAATTAAAGCTCATAAATTCAATTGATCAACGACCAATTATTCCAGAAATTGTTCATTAATCAACCAGAAACTGTTTTTCTCAATATGAAAAGAATCTATAGTTCAAATCTGCTGATAATTTAAATCTGCTGATAATTTAGTTTAAATCTGCTAATAATTTCACAGAAAATTTTAAGGTATTAAAATAAGCTGCAATGCTTATTATTTTAATGCCTTTTAATTTTCTGTGTTAGTTTAAATCTGCTATATGTTATCACAAAAAAATTAAAAGGCATTAAAATAAGCTGCAATAACGCTTATTATTTTAATCCAATTTTGCTTATTTTAATCCATTTTGATATATTAAAATAAGCAAAATTGGATTAAAATAATAAGCATTGCAGCTTATAATTTCCTTATAATTTTCAGTGACATTAAGAACAATTATAATGTTTAATAAATTAATAGTTATTCTAAAACAATATTATATTGATGAATTGAAAAGAATTTTAGTAATTAAGTTATAAAATAATATTAAGTGAATATAATTTGATCATCACAATAAAGAAATTTATTGAAACAGTTGTTTTCTCAGGTGACCGATACAAGGATTACTCCAAGAACAGTATCAAGAATATTAGCGCAAGAGGGTTCAGTGTCACAGGGAGGAAGTGATAGTCCACCACCACCTCCACCTCCTAGACCTTATCATACACCAATGCTGCCAGTATCTCTGCCAACAAGTGTAGCGATACCAAATCCAAGCCTCCATGAGAGTCAAGTATTCTCACCTTATTCGCCGTTCTTTAATCCTCATCCGGGACATCCGGGTCAGGTACCACCACCAGGGCCTCATCATCTTCCGGCAAGTCCACCCGGCAGTGGTATTGAACTCAGGGATTCACCTCCACTGCCTCATCCCCCGGCAATGTTGCATCCTGCCCTTCTAGCGGCAGCGCAACACGGCAGTCCAGATTATGGACATTTAAGGATGGACAGCACCGACCGAGGTAGCGATTGCAACTCCGGTGATATCAGTTACGATGGAGTTCAGCCTACAATATCCTTTTACAATGCTTTTTTAATTTCAATTTCCTTGAGAAACTTGTGTTTCAATTTAAAACCAGGATAATTTTTAATAACAGGATAATATATATATTCTATAAATTTCAAGTTTTTTAATAGAAATTTTTGCTAACGAAGAATTGTAACTGGAATTTTGTTAGCGAAGTCTTTTGTTTTGTTTTTTTTTTTGCTTTTGCTAAAAGGAAAAATTGTAGCGAAAATCTTAATTAAAATATGTTTTTTGTTTGAGAAACTATATCCACGAGTTTTTCCGGTCCAAAAGTGGAAGCAAACTTTGCCCGAAGGAGTTTAGTTTTGGTTATAGATTAGTTTGCCACACGAGTTGTTGGCTCCAAGTTTAAAAGTTTGGGTTTCAATTTAGAAAGACAACAATTCCTTTTTCTAAAATTTAAATCTGAAAACAAATTTTCTAACGGATAAAAAAAAAAAAGAAAGTAATCGATAAAAAAATGAATCTTGTTTGAGGTTTTGTTTGGAGAATTTTTAAAGTTTATACCATCAGACGATTCCATGAATAGAACCTGATCTTGCCGCATCAGTTGATGTGCACTTTTTTTCTGATCACCTTATATTGCCAAACGCCTTGGCGGAAAAAAAAAAAATTTTCGAAAGGGTATATAACCAACGTGCCATGAGATTGGCGCACTGCAGAAAGACACGGGGGGGGGGGGGGGTTTATAAACGCAAGCCGATTGAACACGGTGCATCGGAACTGCATCGGATTCTTTGCCGCCTTTTTAGACTGCGCCTTTGATGTAAAATCAATGATGGTATTTTTCCTCTAACAGTATGTATATTCTATATTATTTCGGACCAAAGTTTTTATTTGGAATTTTCAAAAATATATAATTTAAAAAATTCGAATTAAGAAAATTTGTCGAGTTCAAAAGGGAAAGATATCGGATCAAATAAGAATGAAACCACATCAAGAGATCCTATTACAGATAAGGAGTCGGTAAGGCTTCCATTTGAAGATGTGTGACCAATGTCAACCATGGAACGTTAGCCCCTCGATATCGTCACACACTATCCACAGCTTGTATGATTTCTAATCTCATTTGATAGAAAAAGAAAACACGATTAAGAAATTCAGACATTTTGAGCGTACAATTTTTCCTAATGACAAAAACAGTTTTTTTTTTTTAAATTTTTGGTTTTATTGAAATTTTATTAGCATAAGATTCTTGCATTAGAAAGTATTTCCTTAACCACAGTGCACTCGTCGACGTTGACGCCAATGCATCTCAGGAAGGCGAAGCTGATGTTCTTCTGGGTGAGGTATCCGTCCTCAGCTGTCCTCAAGATGTACTTCCCCGACATCAAATTCAACAAAAATAACACCGCACAGCTGGTCAAGTGGTTTTCCAACTTTCGGTGAGTAACATTTTTTTTTTTTCATTTATAATCGTTGCGATCTTTATGGAAATGAGAACGAGGTTTTCGTTAAAATGACCCGCGACCACTCCCTTTAACAGAGTAGTGCGCAAACAGAGAACCCAAGAGAATCTCAATGGGTGTGTCTGAATCTTAATTACCCTCCCCTGAGTAGTTGGATAAGTAACGTGCGGCTACATATCGCGACAGGTAGCAAGTTATATACATATGAACAGGCATTAGTATGATTATAATTAGACTGAGTACTTCCAGATCCAAGATACAAACCCTTCTTTGTTACCTCAAGTTCTCATTATTTCTTATAATTTTTTTAATAGATATTCCATTATAGGATCAAAATTTGCAATTTTGTTGATATTCCCAATATTCATCCTAACATCTACTCAACCTGTTTGATTTGTCAGATTAATTGATAGGGGATTATATTTGATGGATGATTAAATCAGAGATAATTCTCCGAATTGATTGAAGGATATATATGCGTCTTTGAAGAACATCAAACGAGCTAGAGGTTTTGGAATGATTTCTTGTCTTTTTGTTTGAAGGTAATGACCGTCCGTTGAAACGGTCCCTTGTCATTTAAAAGCACGCTCGTTACCCTCCAACCCTATGTCGCCTTCCCTTGTTCCTTCACTGGCTAATCACGTAAGGGTTTAACGGGGTTTTTCCTCATCGTTTTCTAGCCAGGCGTTGTCGAGCGTGCTCGATCTGATAGCCTAATGCACGGCTTCCTATGCGGAAATGCCTTTCCAACATTATTTTATATATACACCTCTATATAAACTGTACTTTTTTTTTTTTGTCACGTAAATTCATTCTTAAATTATTAACATTTCGTTTCCTCGAAACGAAACGAAATTTTCTTAATAACATTTTGTCTTATAAAAAAAAGGAACTTCCTGTTTTTTTTTGAGGGAGAATTGTCAGAATTAGAAATTCCCACCTTAAAGATATGTCGCATCTAATATATTATTGACAACGTTTTGTCGAATAAGGCCTTCGCGGATTGGGGTCGTTGAGGATGGGGTTTGGGGGGGGGGGAAAGTGAACTCAACTGTGGTTAGTCTGTTTATCAGATCTCACGACAGGACACGCGACTCAAACTAAAATATGATCATATCTTTTCGGATGGAAGAAATTTTATGTCTAATGGACAATATAAACACTCACACTATTCTACTTTTTTATGAAATATAAATTTTTTCGATAATTTCTTCCTTAATTGATCTCTTTTTATCTATATCAAAAAAAAAAATTGGTTAATTTTAAAAATTCTAGAAGTATTTGACAATAAAAAGCTTTGCTTCCTCCTTCGAAGCATTTCTTATCACTTACTCATCGTGAATATTACCCTATAATAGCACTTCGTAAAGGGTAGGCGTAATGACAAGGTAATTTTCTAAACACAAATTTCCTCTTCCTGTTCTTATCTATTCGGTCGCATATACACACGTGACACACGCATATATACCCTTCTTCTTTTTCTTTTAGATATATAGAGACCTTCGTGTTTACCGGTAAATGTATTACGGCTATTTGTTCCTTGAAATTTTATTTCACCTTGTGGAAACAATATATATGTATCTTTTCTACGAAGAATAGTAAAATTCGATCTTTTTTTTTGAAATTTTAATTTTTAATAAAATTTAAAAAAAAAATCGATTAAGTTTTTAATCAAACGAATGTCTAGTTGTAAAAAAAGAAGAATTTCTTGGAAATTGGTTTTTCCTTTGCAGTTGTGAAGCAAACAGAAAGCACTTATGTGCGAGTAAAAAAAAAAAAAAAGGCAAAAGAGAGAGAGGGTCCAATTAAAAAGCGACGTAGGCGGTTTACCGAAATCTTGACAACAAACGAGCCGAGAGGCAATCTCCACACACGGGCCGAGAGTGTGCTTTCTCCTAGGCGGATGTTTTTTAATCCCACAAGATTGCAGTATGTACAGGGTGGCCGGAAAGGTGGAAAGGCATTATAAAAAAAAGGGCCATTTAGCGTAAAGGCGCGCATAGACGGCGACAATCACGCGTGGATATTATCTGCCTCTTATATATATATATATATATTATGCCTCGGATACTGGTCCATATACGAAAAAAAAAAAATCTTTTATTGCCAGAGAAAAAGCCTGCTCGAGTGGGCGCGTGGAGAAAATTCGTGCCTTGAGGTACCTGCGCGGTTATACAGCATCCCATATATTCACTAACACGAGGACCATTCACTGAGCCATTCTCTTCATACTGAAGAGCCATGTGAGCTTCCGGGCGCGCACTGCCGGAAGGATCTAAAGTAGTCTTGTAATTATTATACTCTCCTAATGTCTCTCGTATCATATAGTTTTTCCATCTCCTTCATCTTCTTTTTTATTTTTATTTCATCCCTTGAAAAAAAAAAGAAATTGACTTTCAAATATAAAAAAAAAAATTTTCTTACACGTCTCTGAGACATATATAGTTGGTCCTCATTTCTCCCGAGACCCTCCAAAAAGAAAGAAGGGATCCTGGCGAAATGAGCAAGTACGAAATCCTTTGAGACAAAAGCTTTTGAAACCTCAAGAAGGAGGAGTGCGGGGTTAGTGAGAAAAGGGGTAGACGCAGGATGTATCGCGCTTCCGCATTTCAAAATACCTTCCACTGATGAAAAGAAGAAAACTTTGACTTTTCGGGCCGCGCGGTCTTCTTCTTTTTTTTTCTCTCTCTCTCTCTCTCTATTTGCGTATGTATTCCTTGTCGTTTTCTATTTTTTTTTTTTTTACCTTTTTCTCTTCTTCAAGGAAAATGAGAGGTAAAGAAACTAAGAGCCCTCGATGTTTACAAAGAAAAGTCCTTCGCATTTATCTTGCGCGTACATATCTCGAGAAACTTCTTAATTAAAAACTCACTGCACCGCACAATGGAGTGCCAACTCTTTGAGCATCCGACTTTTGTATACTTTCTACTTTTCGATTTCTCAAATAATAATTGATATACAAATTGTTTTAAATTAAAAAAAAAAAATTATTTTTTTTTTTTTTTTGGAATAGGTCCCCACGTAAATAGATATATAACGAGTACGACGGGACCAATAAAAATTGATTTTGAAGATTATTTCGAGAGAAGAAAAAATCCACTTTAAGTTGAAGGCCGCGCGTATAATGTGCCCCATGAAGCGAGGCGGAACCCTACACGTTGGTTTCTCCGCGTAAACGGCAGTCACTTAATTAAAAATTACTTAATTACGTTCTTGGCACTAATTAGTGGCGCTTGACTCTCTCTCTCTCTCTCTCTTGGTCGTATAACTCAATCTTTTTTTCCACCCCTGATCCAACTTTTTTTTCTTTTTTTTTTTCTCATTCCTTTCCTGAGAACCCCTCGTCCGTTGTGACTATATATGCTTTACCTCAACTTTTCCTACAGGTTTTTCTTTTTCAAGCAACAGCACAATTTCAACTTGTCTTATGTGGCTACAATTTTTCCTTCTGCATCATCATTTTCAAAGACATTTTTCATAAAGGCAAAAAACCTCAAATAAAACTCTTTCTCTCTCTCTCTATATATATATATATATTTTCAAGCGGACGTGTTGTATTCTTTCTTAATTCTCAGAAATTTCATTATTTTTTTTCATTCTCTTCTTAGGGGCTAGACATGTTTGTGTATATATAATTATTTACAGAAAAGAAAAAACTTGAGGACTTTTCTCATATTTTTGGAAAAAAATATTTCCTGGTCCTAAACTAATTAAGAAGTAATGCATTTTTCTTTTCTCTAAAGATTAAAAACTTCCATTTTTTTTTTTTATGAAAGAAAAACCATAATTTCTATTTATGAAGCAATAATGTACCGCAGTCTCTTTATCGGCAGATTTTTTTAATTTCTGTCTATAGAACGTGGCGCCACCTACGAGGCACATTTTCGTTATAGTTCGAAATAAGCAAAAGTGGCGTCACCTATGAGGCACTTTTTCGTTGCAGTTAAAAATGAGCGAAAGTGGCGCCACCTACGAGGCACATTTTTGTTGCAGTTCAAAATGAACAAAAGTGGCGCTATTTACGGCAAATTTTCGTCAAAGTTCGAAATGAGTGAAAGTGGCGCCACCTACGAGGCATATGTTCGTTACAGTTCAAAAAAAAGCGAAAGTGGCGCCACCTACGAGGCACATTTTTGTCGCAGTTCAAAATGAACAAAAGTGGCGCCACCTACGTCAAATTTTCCTTAAAGTTCGAAATGAGCGAAAGTAGCGCCACCTACGAGGCAAATTTTTCTATCAACAATTAGTTAACCTCAAAAATAGGCGATAATTTTTTTTTGAAGAAGGTCCCATTCTAAAATTAAAACTCTAATCGGTGAAGAAATATGGATGATGGGAGGAGGGTGGGGGTGGGGTGAAAGCAAAGCTGGACAGCCAATCCCGGAAGGCTGATGCAACGGGGTTCTTGCTGTCGCAGCAACATCTCATGCACAGAGCGTTCCTTTTCCAATTTTTTGATAATGAACACAAGTACGAGAAACAAGGGGTATTGGTTGGGCGACAGACAATGCGGTGGCCGCAGGGCTATCGCGGGAGGAACAGCGTAGTATTTTATATATATATATATATATATATATATGTATAGGGGATGAGGTTTTTTTTTTTTTTTTCGAAAGAGGGGACTCGAGCGCAAGAGGAGCTGAGCGCAACCTGAAAAGGGAGAAAAGGCGAGGTGCACAGGATTCAGAGCGACTTTAAGCATCGCCATTGCAAGGCTAATCCCGCGCTATGAGCTGCTACTTTTGCAATACTTTTGGTACACTCAGTTTCAAATATCTATATATTCAAATAAATCTCAAAAATTCATCTAAAATCTTTTAAAATTACATTACATATTCATTGTTTCAAATTTTTAATTAATGAAATCGATTTGGAATAAGAAAAGATTAGAAAAAAAAAAAAAAAATTGAGAGAAAATATTTTTATTTAAAATTGATCCTTCCTCCCGTGAAGAAATTTTGCCAGGGACCAGATCG